TGCGCCTTGCCGTGGTCGCCGTAGTGGCTGCCCTTGTGGCCCTTGTCAGCGTGGTATCCCTGGTGGCCCTTGTAGCCTCCCTGGTCGTAGTGGGAGCCTCCGTAGCCTCCGTGTCCCTTGTGGGAGCTTCCGCCTCCGTAGCCTCCGTACCCTACAGGACGTCAGGGAAGGAAACAGCTGTTGACAGTTCAGGTGATTTCTCTTCCTAACAGCAGGATTTTGACCGTCATGCCATGGTTTCCTTTATGAATACTTCGCAGAGTAGCAACAAAGATGTTATGATATTCGATGCATGAATAGAATGACAGGAAAAACGGCGACACACAGACAGCACTCACCCGTAGCAGAGGCTTGGAGGTCGTCCTTGGCCACGACGGCCAGCTGCTGGCTCTCCTGTGGCAGAAGGTCGTCCTGGGCAGGGACGGCCTCCTCCCGCTCCCCCTTGACGGAGGGCGACAGTGCCACCGCCATCAGCACGGCGGCGCTGAAGATCTGACGGCCATGACACCAAAGCGTTAATTTTGTCTTGCATTTTCTTATCTGCGTTATACGGATTTTATCTGCACACACACACATACATATATATGTATGCAGATATGTATATTCAATATATATACATATATATTCGTATACGATGTCTTAAAAGAAAATGAAAGCTCTTGACATTGACAAAGAGAGAAAGAATGAGAGTGAAAGGAGAGAATAGAGATAGTGAAATACAGACAGACATAGAGTGAGAGTGGGTGACAGACAGAGACCAAATCCCAAATCTGACATCAGCCAAAGTCTAGCAGACGCACCCATCCACCGCGCTTCATCTTCGGTTCCTCCGGGAGATCCGAGCGAGAGAGAGTCACTCAAGGGTCGAGTCACGACTGACTCTCTGCGCTTTCCGGCTCGCCTTTATAGCGACTCTTCCGAGGCTACGCGAGTCACTTGCAACATCTCGGTGACACGCACTTTGCGAAGCTTGTGTCTCCTCCGAACGCTGTTTCAAGGCAGGCGTTCAGTTTCACCTTCGTACATTTCATTATTGCATTTCGTTGTTTCGAAAGATGGAATATATAATTCAACATATGATGAATATGTTGAATAGTATTGCCATTGGTTTTAACGTTTTAGCGATCATATACTATATAACATCACGACCATAGTGAATAATACACAGCAATGTAGCCACACGAAAAAAAAACTATATCTGGCACAACTGCATCTATATTTTGGCATTCCATTAACTTAGACTACTTTTTTCCTTAGGAACTCTCCTGGAATCTGGTAGACGATTCCTCTGCATCACTTTAAGATGGACCCAGAAAACCGCTGTAGGGAAAACACGTAATGGAACTTATTTTGCGAAATGGAATGCCGAATACGAAGTGGAACATGCGATTGCGTAATTTACCAAATGATGCGCGGTACATGCACAAATAACCTTTTTTAGGTCTCAGTTGTGTTCATATGTTCAACTTAAAGTGTTGCAGGTATCGATGCACGGAAACCAAATCGGGAAAACACGTCAACAAGGCTCCGTGGCGCCTGCTGGCCGACATAGCAGAAGTGCTGCCATCTGGCGAAAGCCGATCTATTATCGGCCATACTTTGAAATCTCTGGCGAAATTACAGTTACTCCTCTCTGGGTATTTGGATACGGTTCAAGGAAGGACGCCTGCATGTGAATCTGAAGGTTTGCACACAAAACGACCTCTTTTCATTCCATTTCGTATGCGGCATTCCATTTCGCGAAATGAAATTACATTACGTGTTTTCCCCAGACTCCCAGAGAACTGATATATCTATAAATAAATGCAGTTGAAATGATTAAGGGAAAAAGGTTTATTCTCTTAACATCGCGAAGAATATTGACCCTTTTCATATATCGAGAGAATTACTTAAAAACTTCAGATATGATTTCAAAAGAGAAGAATTTCGTAATGTGAAAATAGAGATAAAAGTAAGAATCAATATAACCTTTACAGAATTTGATTAAATAAGATCATTATCTCTTTATACACACACACACACACACACACACACACACACACACACACACACACACACACATATATATAATATATATATATATATATATATATATATATATATATATATATATATATATATATATATATACATATATATATATATATATATATATATATATATATATATATATGTACGTGTGCATATATAAAGTATATGTGTGCGTGTGTCATATATATAAACGTGTGATATATATGTTTATATATATGTACATAAATATACATACATATATATATATATATATATAATATATATATATAATATATATATATATATATATTGTATGTATATATGTATACATATCTATACACAGCACACATACATATATGTGTGTTTATTTATACATGTATGTATCCACTCATATATATGCGCATATATATATATATATATGTCGGCATAGGTAGGTGGACATAGGTATAAACGAAAGATAGACATAAGCCTAAATGAGAGCATAAAAAATATATGGAATCGGCATATCAGTAAGCTAGAGAATTCTTCTCTAACATTATTATTACAAAAACAAAAAAAAAAATCAGAGGACAAGAAACTCCTTTTGTTTGACGATAAATGGCGAATAAAAGAAATATGTTTGCTTTGGTTCCTTGTTTGACAATGAAGAGAAATAAGTGAATAAAGAAATGCAAACTATTTACACTGATTCTCTGGTTACGGTAATTATTGTTATTAATTCAGTACCTGTATGGCAGTGTATGTACTGGTTCTTATTTTGACGATAAATAAGGATGTCTTGTTTATTTGTTTATTTTTTTCTCTCTCTTTATGTTTATATAGCTCTAGCGGTAACCATAATTCAAAAACGTATGACGCTCGCTAATTAGCGGAATTGCTAAACTAGAGCCATCTGTTGGCTGAGTCGAGGCGAGTTACCATCTCTTCGTGCTTCTACCTTATTGTTGTCGGTTAACGTGATGGTAACTGACTGTTGGCAAATGCGTTTTGTTTTTCTCCCGTTTGAAATAAGTCATCATCACTGAAAGTGTTAATGAAAGCAGACCAACAACTAAAACTGAACAGGAAGCATAAGACATGCAGTAACATAAAACAATCCCTTTCCTACCATTTTGAATAAGTGACGTTTCACGATATTCACGACGAGACGACAGATCGCGTACACACCGCCATCTATTGTTCAGATATCACACTATCCGCCAACCGTTGGGGCTCGCAGACTTTTGCCATGCTTTCCTATCTTTCGCATATAGTCTTTGATCGCCGAGTGGGATTCACCAAGAGATGGTAACTCGCCTTGACACGAGTTGCAATTGCAAATCAACTCATTCTAATGGTAGCCAAAAGAGGGCTCTAGTAAAGCAATTCCACCAAGCAACGAGTGCCAAGCATAATCGTTTAGCTTCCTTCGGCCAATAATGTAACATATAAGTAGATTTCGATACCTAGCCATTTGTATAATTATGGTTGCAGCTAAAACACCATTTAAGCTTGTGTTCAAAATGTTGAATAAAGAATTGTTTAATTATATCCATCATGTAGGATGTTAACAGACTTCCCTGGCTACTTATCGTATAAATAGGAACTTATACACTTTTATAATAAATGACAATTTTATATAAATATATCAATGCTTAACATAAACCAAAGAAACACTCCAGACAATTTTTATTTGTTTATTCATGTTTCCTTTGTCAAACGAAGAGCAATTTTCGTTTATCGCCATCTATCCTTCAACAAAGGAATATTTCAAACTCGTTCTTGTTTTGGAGTTGCTGTCTTTTGCCAGAGTGCTGACGGACACGAAAGTCGCAGAACTTGTTTAACGTTTCAATTGCCACTATATGTATCAGTAAGTTAGCTTCTTCTATACAATTTATGAAAATTATGTAATAGAAGAATTGACTGATCTATCCATTCCATACACTGTAGTCTGATATAGGCCTATATCTACATATAGTTTTAGATGAATTTGTGTTGATTTTATTCTTGCTATTTTCATTTGCAATTTTTTATCATATCCATGTCGTGATGTGTTTGCCAACATATTGTTAATATCATTTATACAAACAAAACAAAACTTTGCTCAATTATTTAAATTTGGACGAGATAACATGTGATGACATCGTCTCCCCAAAAGTTACCAGCAAACTTACCAATGCTCAGCCCACTGATAATTTTACCGTAGTAACCCCTGTGGTAAGTTTTACAGATCGTAACTGTAGTTACCAGCGATTTTACCATCGTAAGAGCGTTAATGAATCCGGGCCCTGCATTGCTTTTTTTTTTTTTTTTTTTTTTTTTTTTTTTAACTTTTTAGGATTCCTCAAGTGTATTTCAGTGCCTGAAACTCGTTCACCTAAAGGCGCGGTTGAATTAGGATCCAACTTGTGTCCGAGTGGCCAGCCAGCCCTGGTATGTCAACTGCGAAAGCACCGCCGTAATAGACCGCGCGTGCGCGTCGCTTGAATAACACCGCGCCTAGGACTTCACGTTTGAGCAACTGGAGCATAAGGACTTATTCCGTTTCACTGTAGTTTCGTGTTTCAGGGCGTATGTACACACACACACATACACACACACACGCACACACACACACACACACACACACACACACACACACACACACATATATATAATATATATATATATATATATATATATATATATATATATATATATATATATATATATATATATAAAGCAAGAAACACGGAAACCGATTTACTGCCATTTCACTCTAAATTGACGCGATTCGGCCCAAATAGCTGCGCTTACGGCAAGACAAGCTGAACCGCTTCTTCAACTGTCATCCTTCAATTGTTTTTTGTTCCATTTTCCCAGATTTTTGCACGTTTTACTTGCGTCAGCAGAGTGTATCAAATTCCAAGTTCATTTAGAAATAGCAAAACAGAAGATTATAGGATAATAAACCAATGATTGCAAAATCGTCTTTACTAGAATAAATACATCACTTAGTGGGCGGAAGCACCTATGTTTATATACAGGGCAGATCTCAGCGACGGGATCCAGGAGCCAGCGCGCCCGGCACAGGGCAGAGGGCGACGCACCGGGGTCGGACTCACCGTCAGGGCCTCAGTGTCCTGCAAAGGCGAAGTTGCCGAAGGACTCGAAGCTCTTGGGCGCCGCCTGGTGGACGACCTGGACGGTGGAGTGGGCGCCGTAGCCTGGGGGGAGGGGGAGGGGAGGGGTCGTTAATGACACAGGTGAGAATGTTAAGAGTCCAAGGTGGAGCTGGAATGACATGGCACACGCGCTTAAAATATGTGCATATTCGGACATATATGTAAACCTATACATAATGCACATATGTTTATGTATGTTCATACATGATTTACACTTTATATGCGCGTGTGTATGTGTACATATACTATATGTATACTGTTTTTACACATTTATTTTGCTTTTATTTTTACATTTTCATTCTAACATACATCCGTCCCAGATCTGAAAAATCATGCTTACCTCCGTGTCCACCATGACCATAACCATCTCCATGGCCACCATGGCCATATCCGCCACCACCATGGCCACCATGACCATATCCACCGCCATGGCCATATCCACTACCATGTTCACCGCCATGGCCATATCCACTACCATGTCCACCGCCATGGCCTCCATGGCCACCATGTCCATATCCGCCTCCGTGTCCACCATGGCCATACCCTTTATGATCATCGTGACCATAATGGGCTTTGTGTCCACCGTGGTCGCCATAGGAACTCTTGTGGCCATAGTGGCCCTTGTCTCCGTAGTGGCCATCGTGGCCCGTATGGTCGTCGTGGTATTTGCCCTTTTCGTGGTGCCCCTTGTGGCCATGGGCATCGTGATGGTGTCCGCCCTGAAGCAGCGAAGGCAAAAGAGTACGAATCAGATTTTATGGATTCAGAATGACCATAAGAAATAATCCAAAAAGAAACAGATTTATTGATTGCAGCCGTCAATCATTCGCGAGTAAAACCAGTACTAAAATGATGATAGCATATCTGTACTAGGTTAATATGATAATAATTATAATGGAATCACTGTAAAGAACGTAGTCATTCATATTCTAATTGAAAGGAAGAATAGTATGTTTGGCCGTACCTTCCAGTGGTCTCCCTCAAGAAAGAAAAAGAGAGAGAAAGGGAGAACGAGAGAGAGAGAGAGAGACGCGGTATATGGAACGTACCTTGTAGTGGCCTCCCTTGTAGTCGCTGCCCTTGTGTGCCTTGAAGTAGGTATCGAGGTCGTCGTAGTTGCTGTGGTACTTCTTTTTGTCGCTGTCGTCGTAGAACTTCTTGGTGTGGCCGTACTCCTCCTTGTGGTACACGTTCTTGAAGCCCTGCGAGGAACCAATTTTTATTAGTGGTTATGATATGCACTTTCTCGAGGCCCTACGTGAAGCTTTAACGTCATAACAAATCATAATCTATATGATCCGAAAGCCCTGCGAGAAAGAGAAAAAAAATAGCTTGTAGTTGTTAACTAACGAGTTTTCTATCCCTCTCTGGCATATAGCGATCCACGCTGGCTCAGAAGGTCGTTCCACGGCTCTGCGGAATAAAGCGCAAGGAAACAAAATATTTCTGGACATTTCAAACCGTGAAGCTTTCTCTATCTGCATTTTACTTCCAAAGTGCATTGATTCAGGTAGTGTAGGTTGGAATTCTTGCCGTATTTTCATGTATAAGAAGCTTACATACCGATTCTACCTCAGATCTAAGTTAAGATCTGGGAATGAACACTTTTCGCAAAGAGGATTATATCCCGTGATCTATTTTGAGAATCCTCCACAGGATCCAAGTGAGGGAACAAGGATCGCGACGCGTCATAGGAAATCAATTTGCATTTTAAAGAAATAAACTGGTGATCGTAAAGCCACAGATGGGGACTGGGAGGATCTCAGGCGAGCGGGTTCGGGTATTCCACACAAGATTAAACGGGAGGAACTACCTAATACCTTTTGCACTTGGCATAATTCACGAGGATTTCGAGGAAATTCCCACCATCTCTTTCTGTAAACCCTTTAAAACCTTTGTAGACAAAGCTGCACAAAAATCCAATAGCGAATATATATGAATCAGAATCAGAGCTACCATTTTGTAATTTAGAAATGGAAGATAATTGATCATGAGTCTTCAGACTTCCTCAAAAGGTAATTTGGATCTCCGCAGGGAAAGCAAAGGCAAACATCAGGTGCAATTTATATTTAGTGTAATGGAAAGAACACTGACCTTGTCCTTGTGACCTTTGTCGTGGTGACCCTTGGAGCCGTAGTGACCCTTCCCTTCTTGCCGCTGTGGGCGTCGCCGTAGTACTTGTGCTTGTCGTCGTGGCCCTTGTAGTGCTTGCCATGGTCGCCATGGTAACCCTGGTGAGGGAAGGAAATCGTTGAAATTTACGATAAGATTTTTTTTCTCTCTCTCTCAAAAATGACACCTAAGGAAAAACAGCATTGCTTTGTTATTGCGGTGTTACCTATTTCATTAATAATAATAATACTAATAAATGAATAAAGGACGCGGTTCTCACACTGTAGTGCGCCTTGCTGTGGTCGCCGTAGTGGCTGCCCTTGTGGCCCTTGTCAGCATGGTATCCCTGGTGGCCCTTGTAGCCTCCCTGGTCGTAGTGGGAGCCTCCGTAGCCTCCGTGTCCCTTGTGGGAGCTTCCGCCTCCGTAGTCTCCGTATCCTACAGGACGTCAGGGAAGGAAACAACTGTTGACAGCTCAGGTGATTTCTCTTCCTAACAGCAGGATTTTGACCTTCATGTCACGGATTCCAATAAGTATGCCACGTAGAGTAAGAACAACGTTGTTATGAGATTCGATGCATGAATGGAATGACAGGAAAAACGGCAACACACAGACAGCACTCACCCGTAGCAGAGGCTTGGAGGTCGTCCTTGGCCACGACGGCCACCTGCTGGCTCTCCTGCGGCAGAAGGTCGTCCTGGGCAGGGACGGCCTCCTCCCGCTCCCCCTTGACGGAGGGCGACAGTGCCACCGCCATCAGCACGGCGGCGTTGAAGATCTGACGACCATGACACCAAAGCGTTAATTTTGTCTTGCTTTTTCTTATCTGCGTTATGCAGATTTTATCTGTACACACACACATACATACATATAATATATATATATATATATATATATATATATATATATATATATATATATATATATATATATATATATATATATATATATGCAGATATGCATATTCAATATATATACATATATATTCGTATACGATGTCTTAAAAGAAAATGAAAGCTCTTGACATTGACAAAGAGAGAAAGAATGAGAGTGAAAGGAGAGAATAGAGATAGTGAAATACAGACAGACATAGAGTGAGAGTGGGTGACAGACAGAGACCAAATCCCAAAGCTGACTTCAGCCAAAGTCTCGCAGACGCACCCATCCACCGCGCTTCATCTTCGGTTCCTCCGGGAGATCCGAGCGAGAGAGAGTCACTCAAGGGTCGAGTCACGACTGACTCTCTGCGCTTTCCGGCTCGCCTTTATAGCGACTCTTCCGAGGCTACGCGACTCACTTGCAACATCTCGGTGACACGCACTTTGCGAAGCTTGTGTCTCCTCCGAACGCTGTTTCAAGGCAGGCGTTCTGTTTCGCCTTCGTACATTTCATTATTGCATTGCATAGGTTTAAATAAATATGTAATTCAATATATTTTGAAAATACTGATTATTATTGCCATTCGATTCAATGTATTAGCGATCATGTACTATGGTCTGATGCCAATTGCCATACTGAATAATTCACAGCAATGTAACCACATGAAAATAATATTCATATCTGGCATAATGCGTAACATGCCATACACCAGGCATACTTCTGAGACAAAGTTTGTATTACCTGATTTCAATTGTTGAAAAATGTATTCTTAACCAAAGCTGGTAGAGGGTTCATTAGCAATGTTAATGGAGATCTTTCTCGGTTTCTTCAAGAGTATATCATATCGCGCCTGAAGTATCGACTGGACATTGAACATCTCGAAAAAAACTGAGTCAAGTAGGAGTGACCCCCCCCCCCAATGGTTTTTAGATATATCTTAATTGGCTCTTGTCTTCTATTTTTCTCCGTTGCGTGATTCTCGCAAAACAGGGTCAATGTAACACAGTTTCTCTTTATATATGATATAGATATGTTTATCGATGTCGTAAATTAAGTTTGATATCACTTTAAAGTCAGTGAAAATGACCCATTAAACAGTGAAATTATACCATGACAACTTTAATCTTTTTAGGCATGTAAATTCACCATAACCCTATGAATGTTAATAGATGAATTTAAACAATCTATTAGATAAAAAGGAAAATGTATTCCAAGTCAGAGGTTTGCCTATTCAGATTTTCAACCATGTTCATTGTACCGTCAGGATATATCAGCCTCGGTTCTTGTTTCGTCTTCTCATCACTCAAAAAAATACATTAGTTATTTTCTTAACTTTTGGCCATTCAGGCTACAAGTTTCCATATCAAAAAATAGTAAAGGCAGAGCACCGAGGGACTTCTTTCAACAGAAGACTTGGAAAGTTTGTCACTTCGACAGCACGAGGCAGAAGGCGAAGGGGTGACGAACCAATCAGCGCACGGTCACGCGCCACTCCCAGCCAATCAGCGAACAGATCGGTCACTGGTCTCCCTCTCCCACCAGTGTTATGGGTATACACTGCATTTACTTTTTTATATTCATTATTGGGGTAACTTTAACTACATTTTGCTTCCATAACTACGTTCTGCTTCAAGGTGAAGGCACCAAGGATTCGCGACCATTATGTCGCTTGTGAGCGAATGTGAGCGCCATTGTTGTAAATTGCATTTACTATATCTATCTATCTATAGATAGATAGATATAGATATATTTGTATGTATTATTATAAGTATAAATGTATATGTATTATATATATATATATATATATATATATATGTATATATTATATATATATATATATATATATATATATATATATATATATATATATATTATATATATATATATATAATATATATATATATAATATATATATATATATATATATATATTATATATATGTGTGTGTGTGTGTGTGTGTGTGTGTGTGTGTGTGTGTGTGTGTGTGTGTGTGTGTGTGTAG